CAATGATAGGGTGTGTTTTGGCAGGGGGTTTCTGTGTGTGTACATATTCCGGCGAGGTAGAGACGGGCCTTTCTGTCGGTAAGGCGGAGCGGGCTTCTTTTGGTATGGAGGCCGGCAGCAGCGCAGGTTCGAGTTACCCGGGTCAAATGAGGACCTCCTGGAGCCACTTCATCTCAATAGAACTCACAAGTGCCTGTGTTCAGGACGGCTCTCCACAGGACTAGGGCCGTCTGTGGCGAGGTCAGGCGCGCGCTCAAACTAGGGCTCAGGCGAAGGTGTTCATCAAGATCAAGGCCTCTCACAACCGGGAGAAAAAGATCCTGCGGTTTCAGGTCCGGTTCTCTCAAGCTCATGACGACCGTGTGAGGACATCAAACTGGACCGCAACCCCAACCCTTCCCCTACCCATCTGCCAACACGCATTCTCAAGGACTTTCAGTTTACCTTCATGTGAGTCACGTTCCAGCTTCTCAACGTGGACTTTTGAGGATGTGGCTTTAAGTTCAAGTGGTTTGACTTGTGAGAAGGACACAAATCTCTCTTCATATTTCCTACCAGAGATTCCAAACTCAAAATACATTAGGTTTGCTCACTTTTGAAAAGACATTTTATGATTAAATGATTATTGCAATCCGTTTGCAAAGAGCTTTGAAGTGTAAGTTCAACCAATCAAATGGCCTCCTTTACTTCCCTCTTTCTTTGAGCTGAAGGAGGAAAGAAAGAAACTAAACCAAGTAGAACTCTCTATATGCCTCCTTCATACCATTCTGTAGAAACAATGCATTCTGGGTAAATATCTTGAACCACACCCATGTGGAAAGGAGACTTAGTTTGGAGAGACCTTTACGTTATCACTTGTCTCCAGAGGAAGGTTTTTGGGGAGGAGATCCAGGGGGTTCCTCTGATGTTCCTGCGGCATGTTGAGGGTTGAGCCACAGCCGGGATGCTGTAATCTCTTTTAGCTTTACTTTGTATTTATTATCACCAACAAACGTCTGTAAATGTATTTTATATGGCTCAGTCCTTATTGTTGCTATTTGAAACTTAATATATTTGCTTTGCTGCTTTTCGTATAAAACACGTGGTGCCAGCTGATTACACCTCTACTCCTGAAGATCCTCTCTTTGCACCTTCTCCGGGATAACCTGAGATGGTGGTGCTCACAGATCAGTGGAGAGACCTGAAAAAGCTACAAAAAGCTAGCATGTCAATGCTATGGTAGCTTTTTCTAGCTAGCTGGTGTCCCATAAGGATGTTTTTAGCCCCGTTTAGCACAAAGACCTAATAAATGTAATCTACCACACAACAACTCAAAGAAACACATTAGAGCAGGAAGGAATCGCAAGTGAGTAATCAATGACATCATCAACATTATAGCATCCCCGACTATCTTTTTGTGCTAAGCTAGGCTAAACATGCTTAAAGCTGAAACAATGAGTTATTCCATACACAGGGAGGTTCCTTCTGTCTGTCTGTTGTTGCAAGTCTCTGAAAAACTTTATATTTCTAAACTTCACACTTAGGAACCTTGAGTGGATTTTCCGTCCATCAATGATCGTATTACTACGCTTCAATAAATGTGCACCTGGAGTTCGTTGTTCTGGGTTCTGTTGTCCTCTGTGGGGCCGATGTGTGTCTCATTGTGTCTCTGACTGCGTGTCTCCGGTCATGTTTTCCGCTTGTGTGTCTCGTTTTGTCTCCGGTTGTATGCATGTGGTTGCATGACACTGGTTGTGTCTCTGGTTGTGTGTCTTGTGTCTTAAGGTTTTAACTTTAACCACAAATCATCCTGTTGATGTTGAGACGGTTCAGAGAGCGTTCATGCAGACACACGCCGGGGAAACCGTCGTTGTTTGAGACTAAAGAATTTGATGCCACCCGTCCTCAAACAACCTGCGTTCTACCAACACAAAGACAAACATGTTTTAATATGCACATAAAAACAGAGAGAGGTGATTTATATGCTCACTGCACAAGTGGTGTGTGTGTGTGTGTGTGTGTGTGTGTGTGTGCGTGTGTCTGTTCGTTCTCTTTAGATTTAGAGTCAATATTCTGAGCTCCGTTCACTCTGCTCACCCATTTCCCTCTGGCTCAATGACGTTCAATTACGTGAAGTTAGTCTTCGGTTTTACGGAAGAACCTGAATGCAGCATCAAATTAGATATTTTTTCAGATTTTTCCACCCAGGGCTGCAGATTTGGCTGCAAGACGACAACAGACTGACTCTGCAGGGACACACACACACACGCACACACACACGCACACACACACACACACACACACACACACACACACACACACACACACACACACACACACAGACACACACTCCTCCAGCGTGTCGTCCAGATGAGCTTCACAGTAACATCATTTAATCTTTAATCTTTCTTTTATAACTTAGTTATTAAGTCAATGATTCTTCTGCTTCCTTCATAACAGATTGAGCTGCACGATGCTAGCAGTTTCCCTCTGCTCCCAGTCACTATGCTAAGCTAGGCTTCGACGTCTTGCTATTAGAGAAGAAACTATTATTACTATAATACTAAAATATATATATATATATATATATAATAAACTATAAACTATTCAAAGAGTAAAACTTTAACGGTTCATTCATTCATTGATAGAACAGTGCGGTCGATAGTGAGATGCTACATGCTAAAGATGCTAAATATTAACATGGAAACAGGGTAACATGCACGCAGGCTACAGGCTAACTTTAGCCGCATTAGCGAACATCTCCACATTACCGTAGTTCTCTGTTCTTTGCCCAGAGGAACGTCCACACACACTGGTGGGTCAGCAGGGTTCCTCCTCTGAGGAGCATGAACGTCACTTCTTCCTTCCTGCAGGATGTTAAACCGACCGCGGAGGAAGAAGAAGAAGAAGAAGAAGAAGAAGAAGAAGCAGCTCCACGGCGGAGTCTGAACATTCAAACGTTTACTTGATTATTTCAACAGGCTTCTCTAAACCGGACGGTGAATCAAACACCGACAATTAACTTAGAAACGTTGAAGACGTCGGAGGGACAATGAATGTTTCACTTGTTCTTTAAGCATCAGGACACGTGACCAATGGTGATACACTTCATCCAGAAATGATTTAATCAATACTACAAGTATCAATGAGTGAGGTCAAAGGTTAATGACTATTTTAAATATATTCTTTATTGGACGGATCCATGAATCAATAGACTTCGATTGATCAGCGCCATGAGGCTGTAGCTCCACCTAGTGGCACCATAAGGAACTACTCACATCATCTAGTGGTTTGGATTTAAATATGAATATTCTTTACGTTGAATATTTCATACATTTCTATTGCATTTTGTAAAGAAAATATCAACGATCAGAACAAATGTTTAACGGTTCTAATGAAGGTCGAAGGAGACTTTAATAACAGAACATAATTACACACGTTGTGCGTCCAAGAAGACGTCTTCGTGGACATATGAGGTCACTTCCTGTTCACTGGCTTCACGTTCTTACGTTTAACGGCGTTGATCAGCAGCGGTTTGATGACCGATTGTTTCCGTGACAACATCCTTCTGTCGTCTCGTTCATTCTATCACCACCTCGATGTCCACGGCCTTCAGCTCCTGGACGAACACCACGTCGTCCCCGCGGTCCAGCTCCGCGGGCTCCTCCCACGGCTCGTCTTTGCATGCGAGCGCGGGCGGCTCGGCGTCCTCGAAGGGCAGCTCCACGGCGCCGCTCAGGTAAGCTCCCGCTCGGCCGCTCTTGGCCGCTATGGCGACGACCTGCGAGGCCACGGCCCAGGCGAACTCCACCCTGCGGTGCCTCTGGGAGCTCAGGTCCAGGTTGCGCTCCAGGATCTCGTAGAGCGCCGGGACGTAGCGGTTGCAGTGGCGCTGCACGTAGCGGTGCATCTCCAGGAGCGCCCCCCTCGTCAGCGCCCGCGGGTCCAGCTTGGCCTCGCCATCTGGTTTGGCGCCGACGTCGAGGTCCAGTCCAATCTGCTGGCAGACCGGATAGCAGTGGAGCGGCTCCGCCTCCTGCTCCTCCTCCTCCTCCTCCACCTTCTCCTCCTTCACGTTCGGGACCTCCGGGTCCGACGGGGGGTCCTCGGCCCCGAGCGGCGGGGGGCCGCTCAGCTGGACGGTCGCCTCCAACCACCGGGCGAGCTTCTGCGACGCGGTCGGCCTCTTCATCACGGCCCTCTGCTCGGCGTACCACCCCTGGAGGGCCCGCGAGGCCCCCGTGGCGCCGCCCTGCAAGTCCAGCGGGAAGTTGTGCTCCAGGAGGTCGCTGACCGTGTGGCGGGCGGAGCCGCACAGCTCCCTGACGAAGGCAAACGCCTCCAGCACGGCGCCGGTGGTGAGGGCCGCCAGGTCCAGCTTCTGGCTCGCCGGGCGCTCTTCAGTGGACCACAGGTCCAGGCCCAGCTGCTCGCAGAAGGGATGCGGCTCCCTGTTGGGGTCCGGGGCCGGCGGCTCGACCCCCTGCCCGGCCTGAGTATCAGCGGGCACGTCGGGCACGTCGGGCACGTTGTAGACCTCCGGGAAGCTGAAGGGGCTCTGGAGGAACTGGGCCTTGCGTCGGTCGGGGTGGTTCTGGAGGAGCCGCTCTTTCGTGATCATGTAAAATATGAAGTTGCGCTGATGCAACTCGTTTTGGAAGATGAGGATGAAGTTTTTGTCCAAGATCTCAAACAAGAAGCCGCCCAAACTCTTGGTCATCGCAGTCGCAAACTTATGAAGCTCCAGCAGCACGCCGTTGGTGAGCAGCTGCGGGTCCAGGTCCCGCCGGCGGCCCGACGCCACGTTGAAGTCCAGGCCTCCCTGCCGGCAGCACGGGAACGGGTCGTTCACTCGCCGGCACTTCAGGATCTGTTTGGAGCGAGCGGCCCGCCTCGTCCACAGCTTCCGCTTCATCGAGTCCCCGCTGGCGTCCCCGCTGGCGTCCCCGCTGGCGTCCCCGCTGGCGTCCTCGCTGGCGTCCCCGCTGGCGTCCTCGCTGGCGTCCTCGGAAAAGAGATCCGAGAGGCGCCTCGGAACCTTCGGGCGCGGGCGAGACGAGCAGAGGACGGCGGCCACTCCCTCCTTATCCCGCTCCACGTCTTTCGTCTCAGACAAACACCTTTCGACCTTTGCGTCTTCCGGTCCGGACTGCGAATCGGACTGCGTGTCCACCTCACACTCAACAGGACACATGTAGGAGAGGTCGCCGCCCTTGTCGCAGTCTTCGCCGTCCGTCGCCTTCCTCTTACTGGCCGTCTCTGGTCCTTCAGGCTCGCTCCTCTTTCTGCGCTTCGAGGACGGCCGTCTGTGGGCGTGGACGGCGAAGGCCTCCTTCCGGAAGGCGTCCTTGTCCTTGGCGCCCAGCCAGGCGCTCTTCGTCCTGCTCAGCTGCAGGCGGAAGGTTCCCTTGTCCAGCTGCTGGCCGAAGTTGTGCAGCACCAGGTCGCAGACGATGTCCGTGTGCAGCCCACAGAGCTTCCTGGAGAAGTCCAGCAGCTCCAGCACCACCCCGTTGGTCACCAGCTCCGGCCTCAGCTTCTCTCGGCGGGCGTCGCCCGGCGGCACCAGCAGGGTCACGCCCAGCTCCTTGCAGAAGGGGTAGGCGTCGGCGGCGAGCACCCCCGAGGCTCCTCCCCTTCCCCTCGCGACGCACGCCGGCCCGGTGCCCTCCGCGCCCCGGCCGCTCTTGGAGAGGACGGAGCTGTCGGCCAGCGTGCTCCTCTTGGGGTAGTAGCGCCCCGGCTGCTGGCGCCCGGCGGAGCCCCACATGGCGCCGGGGTCCGGGAAGACGAAGGCGTCTTTCCTCCGCCGAGGCTTCAGCTTGATCTGCTCCCTCAGCTGCTTGATCTTGCCGTGCGTTCGCCTGCTGTAGTCGTAGCGCTGATGCTCGCCGTGCACGTCCACGCCGAGGTCGAAGTTGAACTCCAGCATCTCGAACAGGAAGTACGTCTCGGACTTGGTTACGGTTCTGGCAAACTCGCACAATTCCAGCATCACGCCGTTGGTCAGCAGGCTCGGGTCCAGCTTCTCCCGCCTCTCCAATGCCACGTTGAACTCCAGGCCCGTTTCCACCGACTCCGGGAACGGGATGGCGCTCTTCTGGTAACGAACGCCGTGATGGATCCGCTGCCGCCAAATGTACTCGTCCACGCCCTCCATGAAGGACCTGGAGAAGATCCGAGGATCCAAACGGGACTGGAGACGCTCTCCTGACAACAGACAAGAAGTACAACGAGGTCACGGCGAGTTTAGTTCTATGCAAACTCGTCAGTTATTTTACAGCTTTTTGTTTCACAGACAAAAGTCTTTTGATAAGGTCGTTGTGGATGTACTTAAAGAGTCACGGTACTACTGCGGTAAAGATACTTCTGTCCTTAAAAAAAACTTCCTTTGACATCATGAAAGAAAGAACAAAAATACTAATTTAACAGGACGAGTCTATTAGCAGCAAGAAGCGTTGTATGTATTGTGTTGTGTTCCTGAGAATCAAATGCTGGAAGGAAACCACGTGTTTTACAGAGTGCAGTATGACGACTTGTACCTTTTTGTACTTTTACTTCAGTGCAGCATCAGAATACCTTCTCCACATGTGGATCAAATATTGACGTCATCTTTATGCATTTATTGTAATCGTCCTTGTTATTATTCTTTCTGTATGTAGGGTTCCAGTCAGATGTACTTTAAGCTCGACTTGCATCGTTGTGAATATGTTGAGTGGTGTTTCTACCGAGGGGACCTGAACGCACCGAAACGGTCGCTCTGCTTCTCCGTTGAACGGAGAGCCGCGTTGAGGCTCGCGGCCCGCTGGCGGGGATGCTAACGGTTAGCACTCACCGGATACCGGGCCGCCTCCCGGTGACACGGGTGGTTGAGGAGGGCGGCGAAGCAACGTGGCGAAGAAGTTTAGCGGAACCGAAGCCTCCCACGAGGCGCTTCTATCGAACACCGGAAACACGCTGAAACTCCCCCTCGAGGACGCGTTCAGGGATACGTCGGAAACTCCCCTTTCACAAGCAATGTTTCTCTCTCCATAGCGGTACAAAGAGAGATGTCGACGGGTACATAACATGTATGTAAATAAAATTATATGTAATTAAATGTAATTCATTTTACATGTAAGTCAACGTTTTTAAACGAGAGTAATAGTTTTGAACAACTCAGTTGTTACTAGAGCAAATGTGTCGGACACATTGTCGGACAAGATAAGAGCTTTAAAATAAACTAAGATAACTTGTATATGAGACCACAAATAAGGTTTAGCTATTTAGAAATAGTCGCATTAATTTGTGTTCGGAATTTAAAAGTGTGTTTCCGCCCGGTCTCGAACCGGGGACCTTTCGCGTGTTAGGCGAACGTGATAACCACTACACTACGGAAACTGACCGCTGGCACTTGGTTATAGAAACTAATAGTAACTACGTCAGGAGGGAACGTCAGCCTGAGAGGGAGGAAGGAACCTTCAGTCATGTCATGTGTGGTATGTTTACAGCACAGACTATTTGTGGTAATAACCAGAGCCCTAGCTATAGAACTGTTATAAGGTATTTACCCTGCTAATATGTGTCCTTTCCTAATAATACTGGTCAAAATTACGTAGGGAAATATTTCCAGGTTGTTTGTGTTGTCTGAAACATTTTGTCTCGAATCTCAACCCATAAATAAATGTGGAAAAACATAATAAAAAAGAGGTTGTTTCCGCCCGGTTTCGAACCGGGGACCTTTCGCGTGTGAGGCGAACGTGATAACCACTACACTACGGAAACTGATGACCGACCACCATGTAGTTTGTAATAAGTCTAAAACAATACACTTTATTGAGCGTTCACTCTATAGTTATACAAATGGTGTGTTCGGGGACGAAGGAGTATTCGGTACAGTTACCTGTACAGGGAAGCTAACGATGATCACTGTGTTCCACGACCCATCAAACCACACACAGATGTAAGATATGTAACTTTTGACTCCATTAAGATACGTGCCAACTAGTCGGGGTTTTTTTGAATAATAAAAATACATAGTGAGTAAATGTCCTCTTTTAAATTACAATTGCTAAACCTTACTTCTAATGAAAAGCAAAACCTTGTTTCCGCCCGGTCTCGAACCGGGGACCTTTCGCGTGTTAGGCGAACGTGATAACCACTACACTACGGAAACCACGTGAGAACGCCACCGATTACCGGGTATAGATCAAGTCAAATGTCCAGATGTTTAACTCGTTCAATGGAAGACTGACTTACTTACTGTCGGTTTAAAAGTGAAAACATACAACTGTTAAGTTGATCAATAACCTGCCACTGCGCATATCACCTTATCATCAATTATGATTTAACGCTGCAGGAGTGAGACATGTGTTGACACATGTTTCTGTAATACATGGTACCAATAATAAGGAAAGCCACCAGCAGGTGGACATAAAATAAATAATACAAATAAATTCAAAACTGATGATAATAATGTATTGATCTAATTGATTAACTCAGTTCTATTGTTGGGATTGAATGTCTTCATGTTAATTTAATTTGCACAGTTCGTATTTGTAGATTCGGAAACGTTGAACACGGTTGGCGACATATATATATATATATATATATATATATATATATATATATATATATATATATATATATATACACACATACATACATACATACATAAAAGCAATTGTATATGTACATATATAGAAGCTTCAGCGTTGATCAGTTTTGTTGCATAGTCCGCGTCGGCAGCTTTAACCCACGTGACGTCATCACTGTGCGTCGCCTCCCCTCAAACAACGCTCGCTCTCCATCAGCGTTCACCGTGTGGTTCGGTGGTTCGGGTCCGGGTCGTGCGGCCGTGGGTGCGTTAGTTCTTGTGTTTCTCTTGTGCGGGGTGACAGTGCACTTTGCAGTCGACGCTAACGTATTTGGAGATGGAGTCCGGGGAGACCACCGAGGGGGCGAAGTCCGCCTCTCTGTCGGCGGCCCAGCGGCGGGCAGAGACCCGCAGGAGGAAGCTGCTCATGAACTCCGAGGACAGGATGAACAAAATCGTTGGTTTCCCCACGAACGAGTCCGAAAACAACGGTACGATGTTTCAACCGATGCGCAGAGTCTAGCGCCACATCTGGGTAGAATATCCTGGTAAAACAAGACCGCATCTGGATAAACTATTGTGTTAGAACAGGACCACATCTGGGGACTGTTGGTAAATGTAGCATTAATGCTAATCACCTGTCCTAGCCATACAGCCGGATAAAATAGGAAAAGGACAATAAGGTTTTCAAAATGATTTTCTCCGTTTTCATTGAGATAATATAAAGTAATGATTGTGATGTTCGTTGATAAATACTTGAAAGCATCAACCCCCCCAGCCGGGTCACTGCTGCGTCCTGCAGAACCTCGCTTCCACCTCGACCTGGACCGGACGGAGCCGTGGTCCTTCTCCCAGAGGTCGGAGGCCTCGGGGCTCGGAAGTCGCTCCCACGGCGCCACGCCGGAGAGGAGGGGCTCGCCGCTGCCGGACTGCAGTGGCGAGCCCCCAGGAGGCTCCCTGGACGCTGACGCTGGGGGGGTCCGTCAGAGGCCGAGGGGGGAGCGGGCGCCGGACGACCTCGGCGGCTCTCCGCGCCAAGGCCTCCAGAAGTACCTCTCCCGCTTCGACGACGCCATGAAACTGCGGGGACAGCTGGCCAACGAGAAGCCGGCGCAGGAGGCGGGGGCCGAGGCCGAGGAGTTCGATCCTTTCAGGGTCTTCCGGCTCGTCGGCAGCGTCCTGCTCGCGGTCTTCGTCAGGGGTTTTGTCTGCCGGTTCCTGGTGAGTCAGCAGATTGGACCCACGGTCAATGTGTCATGTATTCATTTAATAATGCATCCGACCCGCAGGAACCAGATTTCGTTGTGTCATCTTGTCTTTGCAGTCGATATTTGCTCCGTTTCTGACCCTGGAACTGGCCTACATGGGGCTGTTCAAATACTTCCCAAAGGTGAGTTGGCGCCAGACATCTGTATGAGCCGGAGTCCGTTTCTATCACACCTCTCTTTGAATCCAGGTGGAGAAGAAGGCTCAGACCACCGTGCTCACCGCCGCGCTGTTACTGTCCGGCATCCCGGCCGAGGTCATCAACCGCTCCATGGACACGTACCGGAGGATGGCCGACGTCTTCGCCGACCTCTGCGTCTACTTCTTCACCTTCATCCTGTCGCACGAGGTCCTGCTGCTCGTTGGCTCGGAGGCGCCTGACGGGACGAGAGGCTCGGAGTGACCCCCCCCGTCTCCATAGCAACGAGGCACAGCCGCTCCGTTGCCGCTGTTCATGTGTCCTGGATTCTGCTAATGCTAAGCTACGTGTGACCAGAGGGTCTGGAGGTTGTTGTTGTTGTTTTAACAGATCTCTGAGTCACTTTGCTTATAGAAGAATGTGCTGCGTTGTTTTGTGGTGATATTTATTTATTTGGGTGTAAAAAAACAACACAAAATGTCACAGTTGAAAAGTTTCCCTTTTAAACAAAAGCAGTTACACAGAAGTTTGGGAAACAAGTTTTCTCCTGGGATTCATTTCTTTACTTAACTCTTAACTTCTGATTTGAATCTTTGATCCTTTTTTATCATTCTATGTTAACTATGTGCTCAAAAGATCTGTTTTCCTTCTTCTGCTGTAACATCAGGCAGAGAGAAACATCTGGATTATTTTCCGGTATCACAGCATTGAGGAACGGCGACGTCCTTCGTCATGACGATGATGATGCTGGTGATGTCATCCTGTGCCTGCTTTGAATGAGTAGTTCCCCTTTCAGGAAAGTCAGAGGACATTTATCATTTCGCCCTTTAAGGCCCAGCTTTTTATTTTGCTTAAAGGTGCTTTTATTGGGGGGAGTTTGGGATCATCGGTTAGTTTTTGTGGTTCTGCAGGTTCGTCCCCTCTGGAGCCTCATTCATATAAATGTTTCATCGATACTCTCTTCTGTGCTCCTTGTTTATCAAAGTGAATTTCATTATCTCGATCTCGTCTGTTAGTTCTTTCATCTCTCTTCAGTAAGTGACTCGTTGTTGACGTGATGTAAAGTTCAAACCAAATAAAAACTAGAACGTGTGCAGCAGCCTGAGACGACGATGTTTATGATTTGACTTCTATGCAGATCTCTACCACTGTGTTCCCATATAGAATGGAATCTGTTACATTGGAATATCACTTGTATCGTAATACACAGGGTGAAGTTAGATATTTAAATATTTGATAAATTAAGCATTTTTTAAGGAAGACAAGTGTAACTTTTATCTTTTTCACTCTTTTTTTAATGGAGAAAAGAGATGAAGGAAAACTAAATGCAAACAGTATGAACTCTGTTTTCCCAAATGTAAACCATAAAATGGTATTATAATACTTTGGTTTGCAGATAAAATGGGAATATCTCACTACGTGTTTTGTTATTGACTCCATGTGAAAGTATTGGTCGTTCGCCTTTGTCTGCCGGGCTTCCGTAGGGCCTTCGCGCAGTTCCGACCTCCGGCCGCGCGGGGGCGCGCGCCCGGCCGGAGCCCCGGACTCCGCTGGCGCAGTTTTTTAACGTGCGGGTTCACGGACACAAACAAGCGTCCATCGCACTCGTTCCTTGTCCGCGGAATATTTAGACGTTTTGTCTATTTTAAGAAGACACAACGCAGCTGAATATCGATGGGACGCGAGTCCAGGTTGGTCCGCGTTATCACCGCTATTGTTGTTTAATTATCGATTGCGACTATCAGCCAAACTTTAGCTAGTCGTTGTCATTTCGTTTAGCATGCTAAGCTAACGCGCGTAGCCGCTAACACGTTACCGCTGGACGGCTCACAGCCGGAATACGAAGCCTAATGTGTTTGATGGATGTGACGTTAGTTTGTGTCTTCATGCCGTGTGGTCCTCAGACACTACCGGAAGAGGTCCACGTCCCGGGGACGGTCGGGAAGCCGCTCCAAGAGTCGCTCCCCGGACAAACGCTCCAAGAAGGACGACCGAGACCGGAACCGCAGGGAGCGATCTCGGAGCCGGGACCGCCGCAGGTCCCGGTCCAGGGACAGGAAACGAGTCCGGTGAGTTATTTACGCTGTTGTTCAGATCGAAACATCCCGGCTTCTGAAGCTGTTTACGGTTAACGGAACCAAACGGAACGCGGAGGGGGAATGATTACGCTGCGGCACCAGTAAAGCGGCGTCATGGAGCTGATGGATCTAGAACATCATGTCCATCCACATGTAAATGGGGCTGAGAGAAAATACCGCCATCTAAATGCACAAGTTAATCACAATGAGACGGCTGCACTTTGTTTTTAGTTTGTTTAGTATTTACCAACTACCAACACTCCTCTGTGTCCTCCTCTGGTGTCCTCCTCTGTGTCCTCCTCCGGTGTCCTCCTCTGTGTCCTCCTCTGGTGTCCTCCTCTGTGTCCTCATCTGGTGTCCTCCTCTGGCCATCCAGGCGCTCCAGGAGCAGAGAGCGAAGGAGGTCCAGAAGCCGAGACAGGAGGAGGTCAGGCAGCAGGACCCGAGCTCGGCGGTCCCGGTCCGCTAGTCCCAGCAAGAGCAGGAGGCCAGACGAAAAGTGAGACTTAATTAAAAGATAAAATAAATGCTACGTCTCAAGATCAACCGCACCAGTGTTTCTCCTGACTGTGTTCTTCTCTTCAGGTCAAGGAGCAAGGAGAAGGACAGTGTGGACCCTTTATCCGAAAAGAAGAAGATCAAAGAGGAGAAGGAGGATGAGAAGGTGGAGGACGTAAGTGACCTTCATCCCGTTCCAGCTGGTCTCTAAAAAGAGCAGGAGGAGTGTCTGATCTCTGCTCCGTGTCCCTGCAGCAAGACTTTGACCAGAACAAGCTGGAGGAGGAGATGAGGAAGAGGAAGGAGCGTGTGGAGAAGTGGAGGGAGGAGCAGAGGAAGAAGGCCATCGAGAACATTGGGGAGATCAAGAGGGAGCTGGAGGAGATGAAGCAGGGCAAGAAGTGGAGCCTGGAGGACGACGAGGGTGAGGAAGCGTTTTAGTGGTTTACTCCTCAGTCAGTTGTTAAAATGTTAATTAGCTACAGTCGTCATTCTGCCTGCAAATGTAATATTTCATTTAATTTATTGTGGATTTTTGTTTTTTATTACTGCTTATTTATTTATTTATTTATTATAATACTATTATCTGTTTCTTTGTACGATGTCTCCTCTGTGCACTTTAACCTTTACTGCTGCGGGACTAATGAAGGATGATCTCATCTCACTTTTCCTTATCTCCTCGTCTCATCTCCTCGTCTCATCTCCTCATCTCATCTCCTCTCATGACGGACTCCTTGTTTCAGACGACGACGAGGACAACTCTGCTCCGATGGAAGGAGACGACGAGGAAGACGGAGAGGGCAAGGGGGAGAACGAAGAGAAGGAGATAAAGAAAGAGGAGGAGAAGGAGGAGGAAGAGGAGGAGGAAGAGGAGAAGGAGAGCGAGGCCCCAATGGAGCTGGAGGCCGAGGACGACGACGTCGACCCTCTGGACGCCTACATGGAGGAGGTGAAGCAGGAGGTGAAGAAGTTCAACATGGGAGCCATGAAGGGAAACGACAAGGTGAGTCGAGGGCAGGAAGCTGCACCTTCAGATGTTCAGTGATGCTTCTTCCTCCGATGGTCCAGGTTGACTTGAGTGGTCTCATGTTAACAGAAAGGAGCGATGACGGTAACCAAGGTGATGACTGTCCTTAAAACCAGAAAAGGACCCAACACCCACAAGAAGAAGGGGGAGCTGATGGAGAACGACCAGGACGCCATGGAGGTGAGCTTCAAACCTTCCAGCTTTCCCTCTCAATGAGAGACCGACCTGACCCCCTCCCCCTCTCTGTGTCAGTACTCATCAGAGGAGGAGGAGGTGGACCTGCAGACGGCTCTGACGGGCTTTCAGACCAAGCAGAGGAAGGTCCTGGAGCCCGTGGACCACGGCAAGATCCAGTACGAGGGCGTACCGCAGGAACTTCTACGTGGAGGTGCCCGAGCTGGCCAGGATGACGCCGGGAAGGTTCAGTGAACACAACGTGCACCCTTTCAAGCCCTAAATAACCCCCCCCCCCCCCCCCCCATCTCACCTCCTTCTGTTGTCCTTTTGTGAAGAGGTGAACACGTACCGACTGGAGCTGGAGGGCATCAACGTCAAAGGGAAGGGATGTCCCAAACCCATCAAGACCTGGGTGCAGTGCGGCGTGTCCATGAAGATCCTCAGCGCCATGAGGAGGTCAGGAGGGCGGGGCCTAAACAACGCGTGCTTAGACGTCTTTTTTACGTCCAGCCAGCTTAACATCTTTGGTTCCCTCCCCAGGCACGGCTACGATAAGCCCACCCCGATCCAGGCCCAGGCCATCCCCGCCATCATGTCGGGCCGAGACCTCATCGGCATCGCCAAGACCGGCAGCGGCAAGACCATCGCCTTCCTGCTGCCCATGTTCAGACACATCATGGACCAGAGGCCCCTGGAGGAGTCCGAGGGACCCATCTGTGAGGAACCAATGTTGTCTCTTCTGGGGGGACATTTCATAACTCGGGGGGGTGATGTAGCGCTGAGATGCCTCTCAGGCACTCGGTTCAGTTCTAGGTCAGAGGGAAGAAATAGAACCTCCACAAGCGGTTATTCTTCCACAGCGCCTCTAACCTCTGTGGCCACTGCAGCCCTCGCTAACCTTGTTAACGTCTCCCCCCCCACAGCGGTGATCATGACTCCCACCAGAGAGCTGGCTCTGCAGATCACCAAGGAGTGTAAGAAGTTCTCCAAGCAGCTGGGCCTCAGGGTGGTGTGTGTGTACGGAGGCACGGGCATCAGCGAGCAGGTACACACACACACACACACACACACACACACACACACAATCCCTCTGACAGAAGTAGCGACTGCACAGGGAGGCCCAGCGGGACAGACGCAGACCTTCATGAAGGATCTAAGCAGGACATCTGTACCTGCTTCGGGGGGTCATGATGTCTGCTGAAGAGCAATAAATACCCTCAAAGGTCAAAGGTTTTCATTGTTACACAACATCTTTTTGTTTGGTAGCCCGTCTCCCATGTGAGCGTTGAGCTGTGGATGAGAGGAGGTTCCCCTCCGGGTGGTTTGTTACACAGGGCTGGCAGGGGATTGGACGAACCGCCTGTCAATCAAACGCAGGTAGCATTGACGGCTCCAGACTGCTTTCGTTTGTGTCTCTGACTCAAAGTGCTTTTCTTTGGCTCACAGATTGCTGAGCTGAAGAGAGGAGCGGAGATCATCGTGTGCACCCCGGGCAGAATGATCGACATGTTGGGAGCCAACAGCGGTGAGTCGACCCGCGGGGCGTCGGGCTGTGTGAGGAAGCGGAGCTCCACCGGGCTTCATTGACATGCATGCATCTCAGTATCCAAAGCTCACACAGAGGTGTTCCAGTTGTTTTATTTAATGGAGCTGGAGCGAACCGGAGCGCTGAGCGGCGCGTCCTTCTGTATCTCTGGCTTCTCCTTGGTTCCACACATGCGAGGTAATCTCTTAATATGTTTCCCTTGTAGGTGACAAGGCGCCCGCTCAGATAATGCTCGATGGGGCGCCGGCTCTTGTATAGTTTTGTGACGTTTACAGGTCCCTCGTTCCCCTCAGATGGTACGCAAGACCAGAGACCGCAACCACGATCAGAACCACGTAGCCCAGTGCTGTAACGTGTTTAGCTGACAGGAAAGGCTGCCTGTGTTTTGCCTTCACGTTTGACTGAGGGAGTCTGTTGAGGTTAACCGTTTCCCATCATGCCCCTCTTCTCTGGGCGCGCAGGTCGAGTCACCAACCTGCGGCGGGCCACCTACGTGGTGCTGGACGAGGCCGACAGGATGTTCGACATGGGCTTCGAGCCGCAGGTCAGCGTCCTCTACTTTAAGGAGCTGCACAGACTGATAAATAATAAATAACTTCCAGGAGACAGTTAGACTCCTTCAACCAGCAGCAGAGCTTTTCTCACTCGGGGAAGTCTACGTTTCGTGTTCTTCACCAGAGAATCACTGAAATCAAGCTGCCGTTCTTCATACGAGTCTTTGTTTCTTATGGACTACGGTGCAGAAACCCTGGTTTGACTGCACAGAAGGTCTAACACGT